ACCCTCAGCCCTAGGGTCTCCAGTCCCAGCAGCACCAGCAGCACCTCCAGCAGCACCTCCAGACACTCCAGCAGCACCTCCAGCACCAGCAGCACCTCCAGTAGCACATCCAGCACCAGCAGCACCTCCAGCAGCACCAGCACCAGCAGCACCTCCAGCACCAGCAGCACCTCCAGTAGCACCTCCAGCACCAGCAGCACCTCCAGCAGCACCAGCACCAGCAGCACCAGCACCAGCAGCACCTCCAGAAGCCCCAGCAGCACCCCCAGCACCAGCAACACCTCCAGCAGCAGCAGCACCAGCAGCACCTCCAGCTCCAGCAGCACCACCAGAAGCTCCAGCAGGACCTCCAGGAGCAGGAGCAGCACCCCGACAGCGCCGAGAGTACCACTCACGAAGCTGCTGTGGAGAGAGAGGCTCCCGCCGCGGCGGGACACCGAGAGCACCTCCACACGCAGCACGCGCAGGCTTAGCACCTCCAGACACAGCACCCTCAGGCTCCACACGTCCAGGCTCAGCACCCCCAGGCTCAGCACGCCCAGACTCAGCACCCCCAGACTCAGCACCCCCAGTCTCAGCACCCCCAGTCCCCGCACCCGCAGGCTCAGCACCCCTAGCAGCACCTGAGTCGACAGCTACCTCGACCAGCTCGGCAGGGTCTACCTGGGACACACCTGAGGGGGCAGGACCCTGGGGGGGGAGGGGGTCTACCTGGGGAGTACCTGGTGCGAGGAAGAACGGCGGGGGGGGGGGGGAGAGGAAGTGCGGTAGGGAAAAAGACGGTAGTACGACACCGACTCGTCAAACGTGACGTCCTGAGAGGACAGTACACGACGCGAGGTGGGGTGGTAGAACTGCCACCCGGGTGCGTCAGGAGGGAAGCCAAGGAAGACACAGGGAACGGCACGGGAGGACAGCTTGTCCGCTGTAGTATCACGGACAAAAGCTCGAGATCCCCAGACACGGAACGCGGACGCATCGCAAACCTTCCCTGTCCACCGCAGAGTAGGTGTGGTCTCCGGCAAGGAGACACAAGGCTGAAGGTTGATCTGATGCGCAGCGTACTGAACCGCGAACGGCCACAGAAAATGGGGAGCAGCCGCATGGATCATGGACGTACGAGCGACGTCCATGACCATGCCAATGCGGCGCTCAGCAATCCCATTTTGCTGTGGGGAGGCCGGAAGCGTGAACGTCTGGCGGATGCCCTCAGAACGACAGAAGGCTCTCAGGAGGTCGGAGGAAAACTCCACGCCTCTGTCTGAGTGCAGACGCAGAACAGGAAGGTCTGAGCCGAAACTCTCACTAAGCTGGCAACGAGCACCGCGGATCCAGTCGATCAACACCTCAGGGACCTCACCCTTGCTGCGCAAGGGGAAGACTGTGGTGTAACGCGAGTAGTCGTCAACGACCAGCAGGAAGTAACGCTCGTGACCCTGTCCACGGACGCGGGCTGGGCCCCACACGTCCATGTGAAGAGTCTGCAGAGGAGCCTCAGTCGGAGGAAACGAGGAGGAGTGAGGAGCGGCGCGCTGCCGGCCCTCAACACAAGGAACACAGGTGGGGGCAGGCCCCGGAGGAAGGGGAGGGAGGGACCTGGGGAGTCCAGAGACAAGAGCACGGGAGGCCATCCCTCGAAGACGAGGTAGGGAGGGGTGACCAAGGCGGTGGTGCCAAAGGAGAGTCTCGTGCGCCAGAGAACGACACGAGCAGGGGGCAAACGCAGGACTAGACCTGGACGCGGCAGCAAACACCTGACTGGACGCAGCTACCTGACCAGACGCAGGGACCGGAGGAGGCGCAGTAGTCAGTGTGTACAGACTCGACCCTGGCCGACGGGTGAACGTGGCCAGGTGGCGGCCCGTCCGAGAGCAAGTGCAGTGGGTCACACGCTGACGTCCAGGGGTGAACTGGTCAACCCACGCGTCCTGGAGGTCAGCTCCACTCACCAAGTTTGTAGAGAACGAGGGGAGGTGGAGTCCCGACAGCAAGCCCGACGGGGCCGCAGGACACGGTAGAACCGTGGAGGAGTGTGCAAGGACTGGGCCCCCTGAGGGGTCAGCAAGGGAGACCGCAACAGGCTGACTGAGCGGCGTGAGCGTGGTGCTGTCTCTAAAGAAAGAGCGCGAAGCACCAGAGTCAAGTGTGAAAGTGTGCAAGGACTCAGTAGGTGCAGTACCAGAGAGAGTAGACGCACTAGCACCTGGAGCAGCAAACGCACCAGCACCTGGAGCAGCAGACGCACTAGCACCTAGAGCAGCAGCCGCATTAGCACCTAGAGCAGCAGCCGCAGTGCCCGGGTCGGGCGGGACACTCAGGTAACAGTCACCCTCAGTAATATCAGCAAGAGCATACATGGCAGCAAGGATAGCATCAAAGTCTAGATCAAAGATAGGCACATTCTGCAGAAGCAGATCATGCCAGCGAGGGAGCTCAACAGCATCAGTCAAGCGACCGAAGCAGCGCTGCGTGGTGTGTGGGAGCCCACACACCTCCCCACTACGAGTGCCGGTGCGAAGAACGTAAGTGCAGGGACCGGCACTCCCAGACCGCCCACGCCCAGCGTACCACTCACGAAGCTGCTGAGTCGACGGGGTCTCACGGGTGCGCAGCTGCTGCTGGCGCTGGCTACCACCAAAGCCTCCACGCTGCGCGGCTGCACCTCGACCAGCACCACTGCCGCCTCCGCCTCCACCACCGCTGCCGCTGCCTCCACCACCTCCGCCACCGACGCCACGACCTCCACCGCCGCCACTGACGCCCCCACTCCCGGTACCACCCCCACCTCCACCGCCACCTGCTCCGCCTCCTCCACCGCCTCCGCCGCCGCCCCCGCCACCCCCTCCACCACCCCTGTTCCCCTTGCCCTTGCTGTTGCGGCGTCTCCCACCAGGGGCAGACGCAGCTCCGACCTCCTCAGTGCCAACGAGGTCGACAGCAGCAGCAGAAGCAACAGAGGGGAGAAGGGGGACAGGGGAACACCCCTCAAAGAAGGGGGTGCGACGGTCGCCGCGAGAAGCACCTACAGCTAAGATACTCTTCTCAGCTGCAGCAAGGCGCTCCTCTAGCAGGTCGACAGTCAGCTCAGTGGGGCAAAGGGAGAGAAAGTGGTCCCTGACTGAAGAGAGAGAGTCAGGGAGGCGGGTGACTAGGTAGTAAAGGGTGATGTACATGGGGGGGGGGGGGTCTTGGCTCAGAACTCAGTGGGAAGGGCAGCGCGGTAGCGGGCGTCACTAGTGCGAAGGTGAGCAACTAGGTCAGCGACTGTGGTAAAGGCGGCAAGGTCAGGGAAAAGGTACGGCAGCATGAGGCGACTGAGGGCAGCAGTGGCAGGGGAGGAGTAGCGTGCAACTACAGCGTCGTACAAAGACTGAGCAGTCTTGTACTGACCAAAGTGTGCGCGCTCAGCAGGCGGCAGGTGACTACGAACAGCAAGACGAGCAACAGCGTCACGAGTGGTCCACTGCGAGCGAACAGTACTGTCAGCAGTGACAGGAGGGGCAGTGGAAACATCGGACGTGTGATCGAAAAGGGATACCCCATCCCTAGAATCACACTGAAGAAAGAGCTGTAGGTCATCAACCCATACGTCAAAGTCAACTGCACGCCCCTCAGAGTCAAAGGTGAGAACTGTAGGACTAGCCATAGCAGCAGTGGGAGCAGTAGGAAGAGGAGCAGCAGTAGCAGTAATAGCAGTAGTGCAGCAGTAGCGGCAGTAGCAGCAGCGCAGCAGTAGCAGCAGCGTGCGGCTCGGCTAGGTGGCGCGGCTCGGCTGGGCGGCGCGGCTCAGCTGGGTGGCGCGGCTCAGCCGAGTGGCGCGGCTCGGCTGGCGCGGCTCGGCTTACCAGAGACAGGTGCAGGCGCTGGCAGGGGTCGGCAGGGGCTCATCAGCAGGGTCCGGCAGGGGCTGGCAGAGGCACGCCAGGAGGGGCCGCGCCAGTTCGGGCCGGCAGGGGCTCGGCAGTAGGAGCCGGCCAGGGGTGCGCCAGTTGGGGCCGAGAAGGGGGGGGGGGTCCGCGACGGGCCGGCAGAGGGGCCGCGACGGGCCGGCAGAGGGGCCGCGAAGGGCCGGCAGAGGGGCCGCGAAGGGCCGTCAGAGGGGCCGCGAAGGGCCGCGAGGGGCCGCGACGGGCCTTAAGAGGGGCCGCGAAGGGCCGTAGGAGGGGCCGCGACGGGCCTTAACAGGGGCCACGAGGGGCCTTAAGAGGGGCCGCGACGAGCCTGAAGAGGGGCCGCGACGGGCCTTAAGAGGGGCCGCAACGGGCCTTAAGAGGGGCCGCGACGGGCCTTAAGAAGGGGCCGCGACCGGCCTTAAGAGGGGCCGCGACGGGCCTTAAGAGGGGCCGCGACGGGCCTTAAGAAGGGGCCGCGACGGGCCTTAAGAGGGGCCGCGACGGGCCTTAAGAGGGGCCGCAACGGGCCTTAAGAGGGGCCGCTAAGGGCCACGAAGGGGGCAGCGACAGGCCACTAGGGGCCTCGAAGGGCAGGCACTAGGGCGCGGCTCGGTCAAACGCGACACGCGCCTCGGGCAGGTAAGGAAAAAAAAATATTTCGAGTGGTGGGCCCTAAAAAAAAACTCGAACCAGCTCTATACCATGTGAGAATTGAGAATGGAATGATTGAACTAGAAACGAGATGGGTACAAGTAGAGAACACAAAAGTGTTGTACCCTCTAAGAACTACCCCACTACAGCCTAAACAGACTATAGCAGATATAAGTTTGACATCCCCCCCCCCCTGTTTCCACCCCCTCAACTGCTGCACGCGCAGCAGGGAGAGGGAGGAGGCTGGCGCTGTAGGTGTAGCCTCCCCTGCACATCTTCCGCCCCCACACCCCTCCCCTCCCCCCCAACTGCTGCACGCGCGCAGGCTGGCGCTGTAGGTGCAACCTCCCCCTCACACCCTCCCCTCCCCTCCCCCCCCCTCCCACCCAAACTGCTGCACGTGCAGCAGGGAGAGGGATGAGAAGGGGAGGGGGGGGGGCGGGGTAGGGGCTGTGCATGGGGCTGCAGATGCACGTGCAGAGGGCAGCAGGGCGCGCGGGGCGCGCGTGGCGCGCAGGGCTGCAGGGCGCGCGGGGCACGCAGGGCAGCCGGAAAGCAGGGCGCGCGGGGCGCGCAGGACAGCAGGGCGCACGGGGCGCACAGGGCTGCAGGGCAGCAGGGTGCGCGGGGCGCACAGGGCAGCAGGGCAGCAGGGCACGCGGGGCGCACAGGGCTGCAGGGCAGCGGGGCGCACGGGGCGCACAGGGCTGCAGGGCGCGCGGGGCGCGCAGGACAGCAGGGTGCGCGGGGCGCGCAGGACAGCAGGGCGCGCGGGGCGCGCAGGGCTGCAGGGCGCGCGGGGCGCACAGGGCAGCAGGGCACGCGGGGCGCACAGGGCTGAAGGGCAGCGGGGCGCGCGGGGCGCACAGGGCTGCAGGGCGCGTGGGGCGCGCAGGACAGCAGGGCGCGGGGGGCGCGCAGGACAGCAGGGCGCGCGGGGCGCGCAGGAAAGCAGGGCGCGCGTGGCGCGCAGGGGTGCAGGGCGCGCAGGGCAGCAGGACAGCAGGGGCGTGCGGCGGCAAGGGCGGCGGCACAGCAAGGCTCAACGGCAGCACCTGCCGCTCAACAGCAGTAGAGTAAAGAAAAACCAGGGTGGCTACAGGGGCTGCGGCTGGAGGTACCACGGGAGCAGAGGGCTTCAGTCGCAGATGTGTGGCTGCTTCGTCCCTCATCTCCTCCCCCCCTCCCTCCCCCCCCCCCAGCGGCATGTGCAGCAGTGGGAGAGAGAGGAGGAGAGGCGGCAGCAGTTCACTCACACCCGCCACCCCACACCCGCCACCCCCATACCCTCCCCCCCACTGCTGCACCCGCAGCAGGGGGATGGAGGAGGAGTGGCGGGGGCGGGGGGGGGGGGGCTGGTGCTGCAGATCCCCTCCCCCCCACTGTTGCACCCGTAGCAGGGGGATGGAGGAGAAGGGGGGGGGGGCGGGGGGGGGCTGGTGCTGCAGATCCCCTCCCCCCCACTGCTGCACTCGCAGCAGGGGAATGGAGAAGGGGCGGGGCGTGGCTGGTGCTGCAGATCCCCTTCCCCCCACTGCTGCTCCACTATCCGCCACCCCCCAGGGATGGAGGAGAAGGGGGGGGGGAGCGGGGGGGGGGCTGGTGCTGCAGATCCCCTCCCCCCACTGCTGCACCCGTAGCAGAGGGATAGAGGAGAAGGGGGGGGGGGGGGGGGGGGGGGGGGGGGCGGGGCGGGGGGCTGGTGCTGCAGATCCCCTCCTGCCACCCGCTGAACCTCCAAGCTCCCCCGTACTCTCCCCCCCACACCCGTCGTACGCCACACCCGCCACCCCCATACCCTCCCCCCCACTGCTGGCTTGGAGACGAAGCTGAGCAGCGGGGCACTGGAGGTGCAACCACCCCCAACCGCCACTCCTGACTCCCCCCAACACCCCCATGGGGGGGGGGGAGAGGGGGGAGGGGGGCGGGGGCGGAGAATGAGCTGCGCGTGGAGAAACCGACACGCTCCGGGGCGTGCGACGGGCAGGAACCGACGCGCAGCCGGGGCGTGCATCGGGCAGAAACCGTCGCGCACCCGGGGTGCGCGACGGGCAGACACCGACGTGCAGCCAGGGCGCGCATCGGGCAGAAAATCGACGGGCTAGGGGCCGGGGCCTAGGGACGTCGAGCGACGGGGCCGGGCCTAGGGGAGCGACGGGTGCGAGCGACGGGCCGGGGCCGAGAGCTAGGGGCGACGGGCGCGGGGTGACGGGGCCGAGGGGCCTTGGTCGACGGGGGGGCCGCGGGGCCTAGGGGCGTTGCGCGACGGGCAACGGGCCGGGGCCGAGAGCTAGGGGTGACGGGCGCGGGGCGACGGGCCGGGGTCTGGGGGCCGACGGGCCTAGGGGCGGCGGGCGCGAGCGACGGGCCGGGTGCCGGAGGCTAGGAGCGACAGGCTGGTTTAGGGGCGACGGGCCTAGGGGCGACGGGCCGTGGCGACAGGCCTAGGGGCGACGGGCCGGGGCGACGGGCCGAGGGGCAACGACGGGGCCGGGGCCTAGGGGCAACGGGCGCGAGCGACGGGGCCGAGGGGCCTTGGTCGACGGGGGGCCGCGGGGCGTAGGGCCGTGCCTAGGGGAGCGACGGGCGACGGGGCCGACGGGGCCAAGGGGCGTTGCGCGACGGGCTACGGGCCGGGACCGAGGCCTAGGGGCGACGGGGCTGAGGGGCGACGTGCCTAGGGGCAACGGTGCCGACGGGCCTAAGGGGCGGCAGGCGCGAGCGACGGGCCGGGGGCCGGAGCTTAGGGGCGACGGGGCCGAGGAGCGACGGGCACGAGTGACGGGCCGGGGCCTAATGTCGTGAGAAGGGCCACACGAGGGTGGCGCGTAGGGCAGCAGTGTCAAACTTATATCTGCTATAGTCTGTTTAGGCTGTAGTGGGGTAGTTCTTAGAGGGTACAACACTTTTGTGTTCTCTACTTGTACCCATCTCCTTTCTAGTTCATTCATTTTCCTCAATTCTCTCACATGGTATAGAGCTAGTTCGATTTTTTTCCTAAGGGCCCACCACTAAAATTCTTTTTTTGTTTCCTTACCTGCCCGACGCGCGCGTCGCGCCTGCCCTTCGAGGCCCCTTCGCGGCCCGTAGCGGCCCCTTCACGGCCCGTAGAGGCCCCTTTTGCGGCCCGTAGCGGCCCCTTCACGGCCCGTCGCGGCCCCTTCGCGGCCCGTAGCGGCCCCTTTGCGGCCCGTAACGGCCCCTTTCCGGCCCGTAGCGGCCCCTTCGCGGCCCGTAGCGGCCCCTTCGCGGCCCGTAGCGGCCCCTTTCCGGCCCGTAGCGGCCCCTTTGCGGCCCGTAACGGCCCCTTCGCGGCCCGTCGCGGCCCCTTCGCGGCCCGTAGCGGCCCCTTTGCGGCCCGTCACGGCCCCTTTCCGGCCCGTAGCGGCCCCTTCGCGGCCCGTGGCGCCCCCCCCCCCCCCCTCGCGTCCCTTAGAGGCCCACTACCGCCCATCGCCGGCCCGTTTCCCCCCCCTTTGCCAGCCGTCGCCCGCCTCTGGACCGCCGCCAGTCGCTGACCAGCAGCCCGTCGCCGACCTGCCGCCCGTCTCTGACCAGCCGCCCGTCGCCGACCCGCCGCCCGTCCCTGACCAGCCGCCCGTCGCCGACCTGCCGCCCGTCCCTGACCAGCCGCCCGTCGCCGAACTGCCGCCCGTCCCTGACCAGCCGCCAGTCGCCGACCTGCCGCCCGTCGCCGACCCGCCGCCCGTCGACCTGGCCCTGCCCTGCTGCCGCCCCAACAGCGGCCCCTGGTAAGCACTCGTGCTCCCCCCCCTCCCCCTCCCTGCTGTCGTGCCGCCAGTAGCCGAGCCGCGCCGCCCAGCCGAGCCGCGCCGCCCAGCCGAGCCGCGCAGCCCAGCCGAGCCGCGCCGCTCTGCCGAGCCGCGCCGCCCCCACCGAGCCGCACTGCTCTGCCGAGCAGCACTGCTGCTACTGCTTCGACTGCTGCTACTGCTTCTACTGCTGCTAATGCTGCTACTGCTCCTACCACTGCTTTGCACTGCTGCTGCTCCTACTGCTACTATGGCTAGTCCTACCGTTCTCACCTTTGATGCTGAGGGACGTGCAGTTGGCTTTGACGTGTGGGTTGACGATCTACAACTGTTTCTTCAGTGTGATTCTAAGGATGGGGTATCTCTTTTCGATCACACGTCCGGTGTTTCCACTGCTCCTGCTGCCACTGCTGACAGTACTGTTCGCTCTCAGTGGACCACTCGTGACGCTGTTGCTCGTCTTGCTGTTCGTAGTCACCTGCCGCCTGCTGAGCGCGCACACTTTGGCCAGTACAAGACTGCTCAGTCTTTGTACGACGCTGTAGTTGCACGCTACTCCTCCCCTTCCACTGCTGCACTCAGCCGCCTCATGCTGCCGTACCTTTTCCCTGACCTTACCGCCTTTGCCACAGTCGCTGACCTAGTTGCTCACCTTCGCACTAGTGACGCCCGCTACCGTGCTGCCCTTCCCACTGAGTTATGTGCCAAGAACCCCCCCCCCCCATGTACATCACCCTGTACTACCTAGTCACCCGCCTCCCTGACTCACTTTCCTCAGTCAGGGATCACTTCCTCTCCCTTTGCCCCACCGAGCTGACTGTCGACCTGCTAGAGGAGCGCCTTACTATAGCCGAGAAGAGTATCTTAGCTGTAGGTGCTTCTCACGGCGACCGTCGCACCCCTTTCTTTGAGGGGTGTTCCCCTGTCCCCCTTCTCCCCTCTGTTGCTTCTGCTGCTGCTGTCGACCTCGTTGGCACTGAGGAGGTCGGGGCTGCGTCTGCTCCGAGTGGGAGGCGCCGCAACAGCAAGGGCAAGGGGAGCAGAGGTGGTGGAGGGGGCGGCCGGGGGGGTGGTGGCGGAGGAGGAGGGGGTGGCGGTGGAGGTGGGGGTGGCACCGGGAGTGGGGGCTTCAGTGGCGGCAGTGGAGGTGGTGGAGGCAGCGGCGGAGGTGGTGGAGGCAGCGGCAGCGGTGGTGGAGGTGGCGGCGGCGGTGGTGCTGGTCGAGGTGCAGCCGCGCAGCGTGGAGGCGCTGGTGGTAGCTAGCGTCAGCAGTAGTCGCGCCCCAGTGAGACCCCGTCGGTTCAGCAGCTTCGTGAGTGGTACGCTGGGCGTGGGAGGTCTGGGGGTGCAGGTCCCTGCGCGTACGTTCTTCGCACCGGCCCTCGTAGTGGGGAGGTGTGTGGCCTCCCACACACCACGCAGCGCTGCTTCGGTCGCTTGACTGACGCTTGGCGTACCCAGTTTCCTGACTCTGTTGAGCTCCCTCGCTGGCATGATCTGCTTCTGCAGAATGTGCCTATCTTTGATCTAGAGTTTGATGCTATCCTTGCTGCCATGTATGCTCTTGCTGATATTACTGAGGGTGACTGTTACCTGAGTGTCCCGCCCGACCCGGGCACTGCGGCTGCTGCTCTAGGTGCTAGTGCGGCTGCTGCCCTAGGTGCTAGTGCGTCTGCTGCTCCAGGTGCTGGTACGTCTACTCTCTCTGGTACTGCACCTACTGAGGCCTTGCACACTTTCACACTTGACTCTGGTGCTTCGCGCTCTTTCTTTAGAGACAGCACCACACTCACGCCGCTCAGCCGGCCTGTTGCGGTCTCCCTTGCTGACCCCTCAGGGGGCCCAGTCCTTGCACACTCCTCTACAGTTCTACCGTGTCCTGCGGCCCCGTCGGGCTTGCTGTCGGGACTCCACCTCCCCTCGTTCTCTACGAACTTGGTGAGTGGAGCTGACCTCCAGGACGCGTGGGTTGACCAGTTCACCCCTGGAGGTCAGCGTGTGACCCACTGCACTTGCTCTCGGACGGGCCGCCACCTGGCCACGTTCACCCGTCGGCCAGGGTCGAGTCTGTACACACTGACTACTGCGCCTCCTCCGGTCTCTGCGTCTGGTCAGGTAGCTGCGTCTAGTCAGGTGTTTGCTGCCGCGTCCAGGTCTAGTCCTGCGTCTGCCCCCTGCTCGTGTCGTCCTCTGTCGCACGAGACTCTCCTTTGGCACCACCGCCTTGGTCACCCCTCCCTGCCTCGTCTTCGAGGTATGGCCTCCCGTGCCCTTGTCTCTGGTCTCCCCAGGTCCCTCCCTCCCCTTCCTCGGGGGCCTGCCCCCACCTGTGTTCCTTGTGTCGAGGGCCGGCAGCGCGCCGCCCCTCACTCCTCCTCGTTCCCTCCGACTGAGGCTCCTCTGCAGACTCTTCACATGGACGTGTGGGGCCCAGCCCGCGTCCGTGGACAGGGTCACGAGCGTTACTTCCTGCTGGTCGTTGACGACTACTCGCGTTACACCACAGTCTTCCCCTTGCGCAGCAAGGGTGAGGTCCCTGAGGTGTTGATCGACTGGATCCGCGGTGCTCGTCGCCAGCTTAGTGAGAGTTTGGGCTCAGACCTTCCTGTTCTGCGTCTGCACTCAGACAGAGGCGGGGAGTTTTCCTCCGACCTCCTGAGAGCCTTCTGTCGTTCTGAGGGCATCCGCCAGACGTTCACGCTTCCGGCCTCCCCGCAGCAAAATGGGATTGCTGAGCGCCGCATTGGCATGGTCATGGACGTTGCTCGTACGTCCATGATCCATGCAGCTGCTCCCCATTTTCTCTGGCCGTTCGCGGTTCAGTACGCAGCGCATCAGATCAACCTTCAGCCTCGTGTCTCCTTGCC